AAAGCAAAATCTGCACACATAAGCAAAACAAAGTAAGAAATTAATTCACTGCTTCCCACACCCACCCACGGGCAGATGCTCAGCCATCTCCAGGAGTGCAGGGCCCACCACGTGTAACAGTTCCTTGGGAAGACAAACGCCATCACTCCAGATGTCTCCCCTTTCTCCTTCTTCCTCCCACCTTATATACTGAGCATGATGTCATATGGTATGGAATATCCCTTTGGTCAGTTTGTGTCACCTGTCCTGGCTTTGTCTCCTCCCAAACTCCCATGCACCCCCAACGTCCTTGCCAGTGTGGCAGTACGGAAAGCAGAAAAACCCTTGGCTCTGTGTAAGCTCTGCTCAGCAATAACAAAAATGTCTCTGTATTATCAACCCTGTGTTCAGCACAAATGCAGAACATAGCCCCGCAGTAGCCACTGTGAAGAGAGTTAGCTCTGCCCCAGCCAAAACCAGCACTCTCTGGTATCTGCGGAGACAGTAGCAATGGAGTAAGTGTCTGCTGTACTGCTAATCATCCTCAAGCTGAGAGCTTCTTAAAATCTAAAGGATATACTTTAGGTAGACTTTCTTGGACCATGGGCTGGCATTAATATTTTGACTGTTCTCGTATGGAATGGTATACTGTTTTCTTGGAAATCCAGAATGGCTCCAGCTTCTTTAGAACGCAGTTTTTAAACTGTTTTTTTTTTTCCTAACACGATGCCTGATGCCCTCTAGCTCTTTTGTTCCATACAGATTGTTGTGGCTGCTTTCATTCCAGGCATCTTCATGTTGAGTGGACTGTTCTGCACCACAGCTCTTGTCTAACAAGGAAGGCCTGTGTCTGGCCCTGTAGATAATAACTTTCACGTATAGTGCACCATGAGCAAGACAAATAACCCAAGGACTCCCTCAAACATAATGAAATAATCTCACCTGGTTCCTATAATAACTGAAAGGTTGCATATATGAGCATTTTGCTTTGTTAGTCTGATGCAGGTACTAGTTCTACTTAGCTGAACAGTGTCTCCAGGTCTTAACCTCTCTTGGAACTTTGCTCATTAGGGACAACACCAGGGAGCACCACTGCTTTTGTGGATAGTCATCATAAAATCATAGAAAGGCTGGGTTGGACTTTAAAGATCATCTAGTTCTACCTGCGCCCCCCTCTCCCCATGGGCAGGTACACCTTTCACTAGATCAGGTTGCTCAGAGCTCCATCCAGCCTGGCCTTGAACACTTTCAGGGATGAGGCATCCACAAGCTCTCTGGGCAGCCTGAGCCAATGTCTCATCACTCTCACAGTAAAGAATTTCTCACTAATATTCAACCTAACCCTACTCTATTTCAGTTTGAATCTGTTCCTGCTGTCCTATCACTATATGCTCTTGTAAATAGTCTGTCTCCATCTGTCTCGTAGGCTTGCTTAAGATACTGCAATTCGGTCACCCCTAAGCCTTCTTGTTTCCAGGCTGGACAAACCCAGTTCTCTCAGCCTTTCCTCACAGGCGAGGTGCTCCATCCCTCCAGTAAACTTGGTGGCCTCCTCTTGGCTCACTCCAACAGGTCTATGTCCTTCCTGTGCTGTTGACCTCAGAGCTGGATGCAGCACTCCAGGTGGACTCTCACCAGAGCAGAATAGAGAGGCAGAATCACCTTCCTCGACCTGTTGGCCATGCTGCTTTGGATGCAGCTCAGGACATGGTTGGCTTTCGGGGCTGTAAGTGCACATTGTCAGCTCATGTCCAGCCTCTCATCCACCAGCACCCTCAAATCTTTCTTGACAGGACTGCTCTCAAGTTCCATTCATCCCCCAGCCTGTATTGATAGGAGAGGTTGTCCTGACCCGGGTGCAGTTCCTTGCACGTGGCCTTGGGGAAGCTCACAGGATTGCCATTGTCCACTTAATGAGCTTGTCCAGGTCCCTCTGGATGGGATCCTGTCCTTCAGGTGTGCCAACCGCACCACTTAGCTTGGTGTGATCTGTAGACTTGCTAAGGGTGCACTCAATCCCTTTGTCTATGTCATTGATGAAAATAATGCTGTTCCCCATAGGCACCCCTGAGGGACACCACTTGTCACTGATGTCCACTGGGACCCTGAGCCATTGACCATTACTTTCTGGATGTGACTATCCAGTCAATTCCTTATCCACCAAACAGTCCATGCAATCAAATCCATCTGTCTCTAAATTTCAGAGAAGAATGTTGTGGGGGACCGTGTCAAAGGCTTTACAGAAGTGCAGATAAATCTGTAGCCTTTCCCTTGTCCACTGATGTAGTCACCCCATCACAGAAGGCCACTAGGTCAGTCAGACAGGATGTGCCCTAGGTGAAGCCATGCTGGCTGTCTCAAATCACCTCCCTGTCCCCCATGTGCCATAGCATAGCTTCTAGGAGAACCGGTTCCATGATCCGCCCAGGCACAGAGGTGAGGCTAACAGGTCTGTAGTTCCTGGGGTCCTTCTTTCTACCCTTTTTGAAAATGGGCACAATGTCTCCCTTTTTCCAGTCACCCGGGACTTCACCTGACTTCCATGACTTTTCAAATATCATGGAGAGTGGCTCATCTACCTCCTTTGGCTCCCTTCCCTTTTCATCTGATACCATTCTGCTTTTGTGTTGTTGAAGTTCAGTACTCTTCCACTTTACAAGCAAAGGTGTGGCTTGGTGACAATCAAAATAGACTATTGACAAAGATATGTTGAAAGGATAACCTGAGTGAGGGCTTCTGCTGTCACAGTCATGTCAGGTCATCTCTTCGTGCTTGAAGTGGTTCTGCAATACGTTAATTCAGCTTATAAGTGAGGTGTCCCTTCTTCTCTGTATCATTATGTAATGTTGGCTTAGTCTACTGTGTCCTAGTTTGCTGTCTTTTGCCTCTGGAAGAAAAGGTGTTATGCCTTTGGGTCAGCTTAGAAATCCATCACTCAACAATGGACTTCGTAGACATTGCTGAGTCTAAATGTCCAGAAAGCTATCTTAAAACAGAAAGGCAACTTTGGCTAGCTAGTTTCTGAATTTCACATTCCTAAACCCTTAACATTATTCAGTGTTGGAAAACAAGTGCTGTGCTTCTGTTTTTAGTTCTCCTGAATGATATGCTTTTTAGAAATAAGGCCTTTGATCCCATAAAACATCTGGATGGTGCGTGCTATAGAAATAAAGCCTTTGATCCGGTAAAAGTCTGCAGATTCTGAAACAACTTTACTAACCCAAGAACATTCTAAATTGTGGGAGCTTTTACAAATAGTGTTAGAATCAAGACTGTTTGCTCTTTTTAATGTCAAACTAACATTAAATTTTTTCCCCCATGTAAAAATTATTTTATATCAGTTTCTTTTACTGACAGACCAGCCACTACAATCTTGATGAAGTCTTTGGCTCAGAAAGGTAGTCACATGGGATGAAATACTGGATTCTTAGCTTTCATTTCTGCCTTCCCCACCTGTATCCATTCCCCTGTTATTTTAATTCATCTTTTGTAACTCTGTTTTACTTTTCATTTGCTACTCTAGTTAGTTTAGGTTAGTTTTTCTTAAATCACTACTAGCTAGTATTCTATTCATGCTGTAAGAGAAGAATGTAAATTCAAGCTGTGGTTGGTTAGGGTTTTTTAATGGTTTCCTATTCTTACGTGGTTTTGGGTTTACAGAGCCACTGAGAAGACCCATGAGCAAAAGGTGTTGCCCCTTTGTTAGAGGTTTCACAGGTGCTGTGAAATCCTGTTAAAACTGCCTGTTCGTCTCAGGATTTGGCCATTTCTAATCCTTACTTCCCTCAAAGCCAGGAGGTGGCAGCAGCCTCCCAATACTCAGAACGGCTGTAGGACTGGGCATGGCCCTCGCGCAGAAAGGAAGAAGGAGGAGGTTAACTGTTGAACTCGATCGTCTTAGGAGCTTTTTATTCCCTACTTAAATGATTTTGTGATTCCATGAAATAAGGATGGTCAGGGGAAGGAAAATGCTTCTGTGGAAAAAGGGCAGGGGAAGGGAGGTTTTCACTTGTTTTGAACCCTAGTGTCATGAATTTTGCTGCAAATTTTTCAAGAATTCTGCTTTTTAACAGAAAAATGTTGAAAAGCTACAAGTGGAGCACCACGAAAATCTGCATAATTTTTCTTAATTATTTAATATGTCACACAGGTTTGTATGATTTGTGAAAAATACAGAGAGGCACCGACACAGGTCACTGGTTTTCCCATGTGCCTGCTAGGATCTTGGTGCAGATCCTAACACAGGTATACACGTCATGTGTATACCTGTGTTCTCTAGAGGTTATTTTTCTTTGTTACAGAAATGCTGTGTGGGCATACTTAGGATGAACACCAGAGTCTTGCAGCGAGTGCCAGAACTGACATGGGGTTTTTTAATCAAGAGAATTGGATTAAATTTACTACTGTGCAAAGTGCTATCCCAAGTCTAGTCTCAATTATGAAGGCTTATGTGGGACTTAAGAGATTGTTAGGCCCTGTGGGGGCCTCCCTGTGGAGATTTAATTTCATTTCTTTGTGCAGTGAAATAATGGGAAGGTACATTGTACAAAGCTTGCTGCTGCTTTTGGGTCTAATGAATGAAGATACCAGTAGCATACCCAATTTCAATTAAACAATGTGCTGATTAAAAGTCAAAAGAGCTGTAATAAATATTTTCTAATGTAGAAAAATATGATTCAATTTCAGAAGCATCTCGCACAATTCCATAACACTTTTTCCTCCCTCCTATTCTTTTATTAGTTCTCTAGCTATTTGGCAAGATGATTTGTGATGTTTATTTAACAGACACACTTGTAGTAGCTACCTCAGAAAAGTCCTTCATTGTACCGTTACAGGTTTTGATACTTATTTTCTTTCCTTTTGTAGGAAGACTGCAAGAAACTTCAACCAGCCTATGTGCAAAGCTGCCAAGACGACTGTGGTAGAGGTAGGGAATTGAAACATAGTAAGCCCTATAACCCTGTAGTCAGCCATTCATTCTGCAGGGTGTTCTGGGGATAGAGTAGGGGGGATTTCAGGTCATAAGGGGATTTCATACTAGGGACAGTGGTCTACCCTCTCTCCTTGGATTGCGTGCTCCTCACACTATGCTCTGCTTTCAGTAGTTTTCCATTACTGTCCTTATTGCTATTCATCTGTTCCCGACCAGGACTTTGTGTTGACTGTGATCAGCCTTTGACAGGGGGGATGCATGGCAACAGCCTTAAAATTTGTTAAATAATGTAATATATAGGTGAAAGAGGGAACAGTAAGCTTAGACTGTGAAAAACTTTCCGAAAATAAAGTTTAGTACATAGGAACATAGGTTAGGTAAATCATGAAGCTATCACAGTTTCAGTCTTTAAAAGTTAATAAATTACATAAATACAGTCCAGAATGAAACACAAACATTTGATTATGTCTTGAGAAAGAGAATGGAACAGCTGATATAGGAATGTCTTCCAGTCTTTTTGTTCCTATTTGTCTCTTTTGTCCTTATTCCTTGTCTAAACTGATAATGTTCAAAAACATGGAGCAGTGAAGCTATCACAGTTTCAGTCTTTAAAAGTTAATAAATTACATAAATACAGTCCAGAATGAAACACAAACATTTGATTATGTCTTGAGAAAGAGAATGGAACAGCTGATATAGGAATGTCTTCCAGTCTTTTTGTTCCTATTTGTCTCTTTTGTCCTTATTCCTTGTCTAAACTGATAATGTTCAAAAACATGGAGCAGCCTGGAAATATTGGCTGGAGGTTGGAGAATTGCTAAGGCATAGCAATATCTAAAAGATAGACTGCTCTATTAGCTTTTTCTTCACTCTCTGGTAAGTTTATTTATTTGCCTAATCAAAGCTAAATATGGTTTGGCAGTAAGATCAAGACAAAGTCTTCTAGACTATTTCTAGTAAATGCTAAGTGGAAGAGACTTATGTTTCTTCAGTGTTTTTGGTTTTGTTTGATTTGTTTAGGGGTTGGTTTGGATTTTTTTTGTTTGTTTGTTATATGTTATCTGGAAAATATATTTGTTATATAAACATCTGGATAATGCATTCGGAAACTTGAGTTATTTCTTTGTTCTTAAAGAAATATGGCAAAAATACCATAGTATTTGCCGCATGACTTACAGTGACAATGCAGCAAAAGTGAATTTTCACATTTTGTTTTCAAGAAAGGTTTAAAGTATTTTTCTATTTAAAAATTAAATGAAGAATCTTTCTTTCTAGACACTTATCCCTCATACCTTATTCAGTCTGGCATTTAGAGAACTTAAGTAGATCAAAGCCTTCCACCTACATTCCATCTCATTCTCCCTTTCTGCTCTTCTATCCACGTGTGATAGGATAGAATTTTCTTGTCAGTGAGTGACTATTATGTGACATCTTCTTGCTGTAATTCCACTTAAAAGTCTAGAAGATCTGCTGTAAACTGTGTCCACTCTGAGTCCCATTGCATTTTCAATACCATTTGAAAACTGTCAAGCTTTTTGCAAAATGGAATATTAATATCACTTTACAATTCTGTTTTTTTATAGCCAACTTAAGAAGCATAACCACAGATGTAGGACTAATATTTGGAGCCAAATGCAGCACATCATTGGCTTCTAAATGTCATTCTTCCAAAGTGGAATTCAGAATACTGTGTTTGGATTTAAGAGTTCAAACCTAGGGAATCAGAAGGAAATACCTCAATATGACATCTAGTGCATCCTAGTGTGCTGTGCATTGTCAACTGTCTAATCTCATCACTAGGCAACTGAGGCAACTTAAAATTTGAGTTTTGCCTGACTCCCTAGTTAGTGTTTTTTGAGGCTGAAGGTTGAAAATCTAGATCCCATTTAAGGGAGAAGAAAAAGTTTGTGTAGGTTAGTAGTTCAGACACTCCTTTGGCAACAGGCGTTTCTAAATTCTGATGTCCGTTTCTGTCTCTGTTTCTGTTTTTCACACACTGAACATTTATGTGAATTTAAGCAGTCCTAGTCTCTAGAAGCAAAGATTTGTAGCTGACCCTGCTCCTTTCCATTAAAAATAGCTACAGGTCAGGCTCAGAATCCTGCAGTAATTAATCTCAGGATTGTAGTTTCTCAGTCAGGTGCTTTCCTCAGATTTACTTTAGTTTCTGATAATCGATAGAAGTATGGAATGACATTTGGCATACTAATGAAATATAAACTACTGGAAATCCAATCTCAGCATATCTGCGAACTTTCTGTAAGTGGGAAGTGCACTGGGAATCAATTGCATTTGTTAACTTGTCCTTCTAAGTTAACCTGAGGAGCTGTGAAATCTCCTGACACGCATACACAGTAAGAGACACTTTTTTCTTTTCTTAAAGTTGCTGTTCTCTAGTTTTAGTCAGTCTGGTGTTTTGCACTCTGTTATCTGAGGTATAGACAGACAATTTTGTAGCAATTCAGAGGTAGGAGAATTGAAAGCATTTGTGGATGTGGAGAATAAAAGAAAAGATACAAGCAGCAAAAAAACCCCAGCCAGTCAAACTCACAAACTGATAGCTATTGCTTGCTTGAAAACTCTTCTGTGCTGTCAGGAGCAAGGCAGTCTGTGTGTAGTAAGGCTTCTGAAGATGGAGGAAACCAGGCTGTAGCATCACCAGTTATGTCTGGGGCACACATGGGAGACTTACTGATTTTTTTTAAATTCCCCTAGAACAAATTTCAGGTTAAAGTATCTGCCCCTGAGCCACCTTTGGCAAATGGTCACAAGTTGCCATTCAGTGCTTGTTTTGGGATTAGAAATACACTGATTATAAAATTCTAATGAAATCCAAGAGGTGCTTACTGTCCCGAAGAAATTTTTTGGACTGTCACATGCATTTCTTTCATTTATCTAAGTGAGAGGAAGTAGAACCTGCTATCATGGTAACAAGGATGTATGCTGTGGCACAGATAACTCTAAAGATCCAACTGTGCTGAGTCCAATGGTATTTCTGCTTTAATTTGAAGATGACCAATATTAAGGAGCAAAAAGAATTTTTAAACTGAGTTGCACAGTTCCCATTATTTGGAAGGTATCCTTTCCAGAGAAAAAAGTGTTGGCAGCATCACTTAGTTTGGCTTTAGCTTTATGTAAAAGCAAAACAATACAGGAGTTCATCTGCTTCTCACTTCACCTTGCAGAACTTGCAGAAGTTAAGCATACAGTCAGAGCTGTAGTTTTGTTTGAACCTGAGCCCTCACTGACACGCTCAGCCTGAGGCTTTCAGTTGATTTTCAGATCTGTAAATACCTTCCTGCTCCTATTGCAAAGATGGGAGGGTTGGGAAATCAGCTGATCTACAAGGATCTCAGTGGTCACAAGCTACGTACATGGCACCAGCCCTTGTAAAAGTTTGGAGGAAAAGCTTGGCACGTGAAGAAATTTGAGGGGTTGTGTGGTGTGGTAACATTTCCAACACTGCTGAATTCGGCAGGTGTCACTGCTGTCAAGCCCCTCAACAAAGCCGTTAAATTGTGTGACAGGAAATGAACTGCGTAGCAGCTGGAAGTTATAGGGAGGGCTCCTGGATGTGTGTCTAGACTGCTAGGGCAAGGGCTTTGCTGTTAGGATGCTTACCAAGATTGTATCTCCCTGTAGAGGCCCCTGTGAGCAGAGCCCCTTTGGGAGGGACAGTTTTTTTGGTGGTGGCACCCAAAGCCACAAGAAAAAACATGAAGTGACCTTGCCAGTTGTGGGTGTTGTAACAGGACAGGAAAGGTGAAGGGTGATTAAGGGTTAGGCTCTTGCTTTCTGCCATTGAGGAATACATACACATCTGTAACTGCTGCAAATGTCTAAGCTGTTACCTGTTATCTTTCCATTGTTATTGTCTGCTGAGTGATCTACTCAGTATTTGTACCTGGTGAAGTGCTTTGAGATCTCAGCCATTGTCACAGTGTAAGTGTTTGATAGTGGTAATAGTCGATATGTTTAGAAATATTTATTGGCTGGCTGTTTGAATATCCAGTTTGAATAATTTTCTTGTTCAGATTGCAGAGGATTGCTAAATATATCTCGTTGTGTAAATAGCATTTTCACCTCAAATAATACCATGGGAGGGGAAAAAGAGAGTGTACTTTCTCATAAAAATGCATTAAATAAAAATCATTAAGCCTTGCATTTTATCTCTGGTTGCCTAGTAACAACACAGCCACTTCAGTGAGCACCATTTTCTCAGGTACAATGAGCTGCACTGCACTAAGGGACAGAGTCAGACTGAAATAAGCTATTTGTATCTTGTTATCTGTGCTAAATCGTGGCATTGGTTTTTATTGAGGAGACTGGAAATGAACCTTTTTTTGTGTGTGTCTATTCCTCCAAGTGCTCTAACAGTGGCAAAACTTAACTCAGATGTGTAGTTGTGTTCTGAGAAATTCTTCAAGGTTTTTGCACAGTGACAGTTTGCTGTAAGAAGGCTGTAAGTACTATTTTAAGCTCAATCGTCTAATAGAATGTTTTTCCTCACCTGAATCCCAGTCATGGAACATGAAACTGAGCCCTGGCACTGGATGGGGTTCTGGATTTGGGAGGGGCACAGACTTTACGTTAGTATGTGTTTCTGTGGAACCACAGCTCTAGATTTGAGGCCAAGGGTGACACAGAATTAAGGCCCTTCTGTGCAAATGCTTTAACCACTGAGCTGCTGTGTTGCAATGACCTTTTTCAATATTGTTTAATTGCTCAGTGATGACTCCGCATGTGCTCAGGTGATGATTGCTGATCTGCAGTGGCAGAAATGCTTTGTTTGAAAATCCCATTTGGCACAGGGTGGACACTGAGCTGCTTAGTCCTGCCACCTTACCAGCTGCTTTTGGCACAAGTGACAGTACAATGCTAGTTGCCACAATATACTAGTATAATATATGGAAAATATTTGTGTTACATATATGGACATATATATGATCAGTATAAGTACAAAAATATTTGCATCTTAAACGTGTGTGGTTAGT